TATATATATATATATATATATATATATATATTTCAATCGTAAACTAAAAAAAAAGGTTGTTTTTTTTTGTTCATTATCTGTTAGCACATTCCTATTAGCAAGAACCTTTACATTTACACATTGAGTGAAAAATTTATTATTGACATTTTATTTGCTACTATTCGTTAAATCTGAATCAAATAGTGAACTATACAGTGTATTCTAGGTTTACATTACAATATTTTGGTTACAGGGTTAAAACAAAAAAAAGCACGAAAAAGTAAATACAGAACATTCCATTGATGCTACAATGGCAAAATGAAAAGGTTATGTCTTTTAGACTAATATTATATTGAAATGAACATTAGTTCATTAATTAATTCAGAGTCAAACAGGATATTTCAAAATAAAAATAAAAATGTAGGTTAGAATCTGATGAAAAGTACATGAAAAGTAAGCATTCTGTTCCACAAGACTTAACATAATGCCATTATCTCTATTTGTAGCCAATAGACTACGTGCATGGCCTTGATGACATCATCAGCTAAAAAGGAAAGTCATTTCAGAAGAAAATTACATTTTGATGAAATAATACAAGACATTTCATTGAAATAATGTGTAATGAAGAATCATGCACAATAAGATCAGAAACATGTTTTAAGAATGGAAATAGGATCAATTTTGATTTTATGTTGACCTTGAAATCGATCTTTTCCAAACTCACTCCACTTTCGCAAGCAAAAAGTAAACAGTATCTAAACTTTTACTATTTTTTTTTCCTTAGAGAGACTATGGATTCTATGTATTTTTCACAAACCCTACATGATATGCATGAAAATCTTACATGGCAGTTATTTAAATGTCACTATAAATATGACTTATGCATATATGAATACTTAAAAAAAAAGAGAGATGCATATTCAATGCACAATTCTCATGCCGGTAATGCCAAAGACGTATTAGGCTACACTGGAATGTACTTATATGCTCTACATAGCATAAAAAAATCATAATCCATTAACATCATAAAGAGAATTACAATGATTGTCCTTTGTGGCAGTGTACGTGAAATTAATGCTAGGACTGGAAATTAATCCACGGGTCATTCATGTTATGTAGTACATTTTCATAAGTCTATGTTTGAATAAAAATATAAAATTGACAATTGTTGCAGATTGAAGTCATTCATTTTCTTTCATGACAATATTACAATGAATGCATAAAAGTCCATTTATTAAGAAATATTCCAAGTGCTTTTCTTTCTTTATTCAAAATATTTAAACCAAACTTGATTGTAGTGTTTTAATTGTTAATCTTTTTATAGAGATTTACTTTGTCTTCAATATTACTTTCCACCCTGTTAGTCTGCTGAAAAATCCCTTTAACTAACAAAAGCCAGTTCCTTAATGACACAATCGTCCAGGAAGTGACATTTTTGGTGGGAAAACATACTAAATGATTTTAGCAAATGGCTGCAATATAACAAAGAGTGAAAAATTTAAGGGGGTCTGAATACTTTCCGTACCCACTGTACATCTTAAAGTATGAGCAATTAATTCAAAGATGTCTTGTGCTATTAGTTTGTTTGTCTCATTTCAAAATATTCCACCCTGTCGGACAAGATTTAAAAAAAAAATGGGTAGGGTGGAATCAAAATACTAAAACATGGTTAAAAATATCAAAATTAACTTGAGCTAACTATCAATCTGTAATTAAACAAAGCATTTAGCCCTTTATTTCCACCCTGTTATGTTCCATCCTGTTAGGCATCTTGTTCCTTTTTTTTTTTTTATAAGTTATGATTTATAAACGTTTATGTGCCTGAGCTTAGCAGAGCATATTTCTGAAATACTTAATTACAATACAAGCGTATTCATTTTCTTAAGTTTTCAAAATGTGTGGCATAACAGGAATGACCCCTATGGCGTAACAGCAAACAAGGAATGAAAGGCATATCCGTATGCATCTGTATTGCATTTCCATATGAAACTACTGGTAATAGTGCAAATTTAGTCACATCCATACTTGAAAACATTACGAAAGTGCTCCTAATAAGAAAGTCATGCTCAAAAGTGTAAATGACGCAGCAGAAAGTTAAGCTCCTGAGTAAAAATGAAATATCAGACTATTCCCAAGCTGCTTTGCTCTGATGTACATCACGGAGCTGGATCTGTAACATTGTCTTGCAGGAAGGCAATGGGCTACCTGAGTGCTACTGTGTCTCCTTCAGGACATGTGTCTGCAAGAAAGGTGTCCAGGGAGGAGTTCGCATGGGCATCCTGGTCTGGGCCAGCCAGGCTAGGAGAGGCCATGGGGGTGAGGAGGACGGAGGTGGGGCAGTCGGAGGAGAAGTACCTGGCCAGTGCTTGCAGCTGTTCGGACTGTGGCGCGGCATCCGTAGAGAGACTCTGACACAGGCCTGAGAGGTTCTGACGCACATCCTCAATGCTGAGCTTCAGCTGGTTGTGATCTTGCAGTAATTTCTCCTTTTCGCTCCTCTGATAAATGTGGAAACAAAAGAAGATCAATTTTAAGATTACATTTCAGTTTGTGTTTACCAGACTTTGCATTCCTTATGGAGAAAAACGCTAATCATCACATGCTATTGATTTTCTTGGTGTCTGTTGATTTGCAGCACTGCGTAATGTGTGCAAAACTGCGTACTATATGTCTGATTGATTAGTTTTCTTATTCTACGTCTGAAAAGGGGACAATAGAAACAATATAATAGTAGACTTTATGCGAGTTTGAAAACTCTCAAATTCAAATTAATGGTTTGAATCGGTCTGAGACTGATTCTTTTGAATGTAATTTCAAATTCATTTAAAGTAACTGGCTCATTCATCATTCCCTCTTACAGAAAAACCACGTGGAAATCCCGTTAAAATCACATGTGAAACAGATGTGAAACACATATGAAACGCACATGAAACATGTAGTTTTAGAACATTTTCATGGCGTAAATGTGTGAAACCCATGTGATCACATGTGATTTTAACGTGATTTCCACATGTGGTTTTTCTGTAAGGGGGAATGATGTGCGTTTCATATGTGTTTTACATGTGTTTCACATATTTCACACATGATTTTAACGTGATTTGCTCATGTGACGTTCATGTGTTTTTTTTGTATAAATGAGAGTACAACGATCATGCTGCACATTGTTTGATTGCACTACACTACACTGATTCAGTCGAATTTAATGGGGTAAATGGGGCTTAAACTTTTCGAACCTGTTCAAATACAAAATACTACTTTAGATTCAGTAGATATGACAAACGGATATACCAGTTTCTTAATTTCTCCCTCCAGCCTGTAGATGCAGTCCAACTTTCTCTTGCGGCAGCGCTGTGCAGCCATGCGGTTTTTACTCCGCCGTCTCACATCCTGAACAAACTCCAGTTGTTCTGGGGTCAGCTGCTCGCGTTTCAACATCTGCAGGAATGCTCTCCGGGTCATGCTGGAAATTTGCTCCACAGGGAATGGCAAATCCACCTGGGAAGAAAACCGAGACGTCAACACTGCATTATGGAGGATTGCAGCTGTGTTCATCCTCCAGCTCGGTGACATTTTTCAGTAGGGACTGAAACTTTTAATTGAAGCATGTCAGGGAATCTCAGTCGAGGTTGACATAAAAGGTCTGCAATTTTGCACCAAACTTCAACTCTAACTTGAAGTTTTGCAACTGTAAGTGCAAGCAAGCTCACCTCTTGCACTTGTTCACTGCTGCTGCACTGCGCACAGTCTCCGTCCGATTCGCACTCAGAGGTTTCCCTTGAGTTAATGGGGGACATGCAGGGACTGTCTTCAGTGTCCTCTTTGGACAGAGTGTCTCCTCCAGAGGTCTGTCTATCATTGGAGCTCAGGTCTCTCAGGAAGGGACAATCATCAGGCGCAGCGCCCAGATCCAGATGCTTTAACCAGTGGAAGTCTGAGCCATTTCCTGCAGATGACTGGTCGATAGAGTCCAAAGGTAGCGGCTCATTTAACGTGGAGCTCAAATCCGGCCAAAAACCCTTTGCGAGATGCTCAGCCACTTCCCTTTCCACCGTGCTTCGTTCTGTGGAGCAATCTTTGGGGGTCAGTTCAGAGAAGGTTTGTTCGTTGGAATCAAACACCTGGTTGTCATCGGTGCCAATGTTGCTGAGGTCTGGAGCGCCGGAAATGCTGTCCAAATCCCCGCTTGACTGCGCAGAATTCAGAGGACATAGTTGGCTGCAGTCGGTGGGCGATATTAGAGGCCCTTCACGTTGGTCAAAGTGGCCCTCGGTGATACTGGCTATGTTCAGGTCTTTATCAGTAGGTGGTTCACAATGCACATCCATTGCTAGTTCCTTCTGGAAATCATCCTCCATTGCTAAAATGTCCCCTGCTGCAGAAGAACGCAGTTTCTCATTGTCACCGGTGCTTGAAATAGACAGGAAAGGACAAACTTCAGCGGCCGCCATGGAAGAGGAAGGCAACTGTGGGCCACAGTTCTGTAGGCAAAACTGATCTTGGCCATCACCCATGTGGTATGCAGTGCTTCTTGCGTAAAGCGTGGATAAATCTAACTGCATTACTTTGTCATTTGTGATGGGGGGACACTCTTCAGGACTTTCTTCAGAGGGTGTTGCAGATGCAGCTTGCATGACAGTGCTTGCATCTTGAGGTACGCGATCTTCTCCAGTTTCAGGGGTTTGGTCATCTGGACTGCAGATGGATTGGGATTTCTCATGGGATGCTTGGCTCTTGCTTTTACCCTTCACTTTTTTTGAGGTTCCACCACCACCGGAAAACTTTGGGACGAGGAATTCAAAGCAGGCTTTATCGAGGTTTTGAAATCCGAGAAATTCGGCGCATCTGTGGATCTCCAGGATGTTTTCTTTCGTGAAGTGAAGTTTTGCAGTGTAGGCAAACTGCAGAAGAGGTTCAAATCCTTCCACCGTGACCTTGGGAGATTAATGATGTAGTCATGATTACTGCATTAATAGATCATTTGCAAATCGTATTACTGGGTTATTGCTGTCACTTCATTTACTCAATTTAATCTCAATATATAAGGCCTAATTTGACAGCACTGCAATGTAAACCATTTTTAAAGGAACAGTTCACACAATAATGAACACTCTGTCATCATTTACTCGCCCTCATGTCATGCCAAACTCATTTGACTTAGTTTCTTCCATCACACACTCAAGGAAAAGTTAGTTTTTCCATAAAATCAAAGTCAAAACAAATGCATCACGAAGAAATGAAGAACCATGTTCAAAAAAATGCTAAAAATGTGGTGTAACAATCATGATTACTAATTCATAAATGTTATGATGTTGATATTTATCTTTGACTTGTCATAAAAAGGTCAAATTATCTAGCATTTTAAGAAACTTATAGACCTTGACACACAGTTATGAGAGTTAACAGTATAAATAAACAGTTTTGTAAATATTTTTGTAACTAATAATATTAATAATAAAGTATCATGCCAAAAATAAAAATAAAGGTCTGTTTCAAACATTTTATTAATTTGATATCTGGATAGCTAAATCACCAAAAAAAGACCATATATATATATATATATATATATTATAAACATGCTCATCATAGAAGAGGTGTATTCAAGTCAGCATATGTATTATCATTTTTTATGTATTTTTGAATAAATATATCTACAAAAAAATATACATACATCAAGTCATTGACCCTCACACTAACCTTCATGGATTTATTCATGCATGAGTAAATGATGACAGAATTTTGTTGAACCATATATTGTTTGTTTTAGGGGTTGCTCAATCTATGATTATTTTTTTTTTAAATAAATGTATTTATGGGTGTTCATGTGTTAATAATTACAACAAATCATAAAGGGTTTTCATAGTTTTCTCAAAACCTCCAGATTTAACCCATCCACCATATTTTTGAATAAATATATCTACAAAAAAATGATATACATCAAGTCATTGACCCTCACACTAACCTTCATGGATTTATTCATGCATGAGTAAATGATGACAGAATTTTGTTGAACCATATATTGTTTGTTTTAGGGGTTGCTCAATGTTTTTCTTTTTTTTTAAATAAATGTATTTATGGGTGTTCATGTGTTAATAATTACAACAAATCATAAAGGGTTTTCATAGTTTTCTCAAAACCTCCCAGATTCAACCCATCCACCATATCAAGCATTACCTCATCCGGTAACCTGACGGTGGGGTTTGGTCGGCTGCGGTTTGTAAGTCTGGTGTAAAAATAGTCGCTGCAGGAAGCCAGCACTGAAGAGTGCGCTCGAAAGCTCCTGCGCTCCACTTCAACCGTCACATCACACAAGAGCTCCTTCTGTCTCAGCTCCTCCAGCGAGCGAAGAACATGATGGCTGTGAACAGCGGACTGAAAGGTGAAAACTGAGGTCCGGGGGCCATCCACAGACATGACGCAGGGGTTTAGCTACAAAAAAACAGATACACAGATACAACTGTTTAACAAAGTGGAAATACAGAAATAGATGCATCAAGTTACACTTGGGTGGAGTGATGTCCGGCTTATGATGATGATAACGGACACGTACAGTATTCAGATACATTTACAATTACACCGAGCAGAATATAAAAAAGAAATATGTAAATAAAAGGACCATAATAATACTTTTTTAGTGTTTAAACTTTTGAGTAACCATTAGGGTAAGTAAACAGAATGACTGTGTGCATGACTCTGCAAAACATTAAAAACATGTTTTCAGTTAATAGCTAGACAAAATATAGTTATTCTTACTGTATGTGTCCATCATATAGTTCACATAAAGTTAACAGAATAGTTTTTTCACTGGATATGTCAACATAAGCCAAAATGAGTGTTAAGCAACTGTGTAAACATTTGTTTTTCAGCTGGCATAAATAAACATTGCTTAACTATAATACCTGGAAATTCCATTTTCCCAATAAGGCATAATCTTCGAGATAATACAGCAGAAGTAGGAACTAGCTAGTTGTTTACTGTGAAATTGACATTGTACACTTTAACACACTCGTGTTTACACGTGGGGTTTGTATGTTTGTAGAGGAATAGAAAACCGACCTGACATATCACTGGAGATCAGAAGCCGTCAAACGTCGCACTCTGTCCATCGCTTTTGCAGTTTAAACGTGAAATCTGATTAAAGTTTGACAGCGAAACAGCTCCATAACGCCTATATGCCTGTCATGTGACTGTCCAGTGCCGCAGTGAGGGCGCGTCACACAGCACGCACAGAACGTACTGCGTCATGCATCTGCAAGTCACGTCTTTGAGAGACACGCCCACTTCTAGTGAGGGCGCGTCACACAGCACGCACAGAACGTACTGCGTCATGTATCTGCAAGTCACGTCTTTGAGAGACACGCCCACTTCTAGAACAGATAGATAGATAGATAGATAGATAGATAGATAGATAGGTTTGTGAGTGAGATGAATTAATGCATATTCATATTTATTTTAGAACTACAGTAACATCTGATTTCTCTCAACATGGGGACAGGAGAGCTGTCAGTCAATAAATTGGAAAAAAAAAAGTAACTTGCATTACTTATTTGAAAAAGTAACTCAGATATTCTCTTGTAAATTAAAAAGTAATGTGTTACTTTACTAGTTACTTGAAAAAAGTAATCTGATTACGTAACCGCATTACTTGTAATGCGTTACCCCCAACACTGGGCCTAACTGTTCTAAGTAATATGAATGAGATGAGATGAAAAATGTAAATGTTTAAGGTGACAGAAAACAGACAGATTGTTTATTATTATGATTAGTAGTAATAGTAGTCCTAGTAGTAGTAATAGTAGTAGTATATTTTGTCATGGTTCATAGATGCATCGGCCCCTTCTGGTCGTTCGGTGTACTACTGTTGATTGATTATTAGGTTCAGCTGTGGCTCGTCAGCTGCCCTATATTAGTCTCAGCGTTTGGTCTTGTCTTTGTCAGATCGTTGTCTCATGCTTGTTCTTGTTGCAGTGCCTCATGTTTTGCTCGGTTCCTGATTCCTGCTCTCTGGTGGATTTACTGGCTGCAGTTTCTGGATTATTGGACTGGTTTCCACTCGTTGTCTCGTGGTTGGAGATTTATGCGTCTTTGCTCACTGCAGCCTAGCGTTACCGAGGAGGCCTGTCATCACTGCACCCACGACTATCTGTTTTCTGTGACTTTGCTTGTTTTGTTCACGTTTAATAAATTACCATCTAACCTCGCATTTGAATCCATCTTGTATTTCCTGACATATTTGAACCTTTATTTTTAAATACCAGGATGATTCGCTTATATTCACTTTTGATTTAAACCAGGTTTAAATTCACCGTGACATCTTTGAACATCTTGTAAATAATTGTATTAACTGTATTTTAATTAAACACATTTTAGCTTTCCTAGAGAGTGATATATGATTTTAGAAATCCTCACAAATTTATTTCTGTGCCGAAAGTGCTGCTGTAAAATCTATGTGTTTACTGTCATTGGAGGGAGAATGCAATGAAGCCACTTTTCTTAAAACCTCGTAGAGTTGCGTTTGATTGCAGTGCTGTTCCGTTTGTTTGGTCTAGGTAGTTTAGTTGTCGGTTTTGTTGACTGTGTAGTGGTCGAGTCGTATGTTTACTGTCCTCGGGCATGTCAGTGTACAGACCCCTGGTGTGTTTGCTCAGGCATGGGACAGCAGCGCGGGTCTGCAGGACAGTCACCACCTGGTCACCTGTAGGAGCTGCTTTCAATGCCAAAGCCCAGAGGAGACTAGACCTCCTCCAACCAAATGTGGTTACGTACCTGTCTGGATCTGTCTCATTTTAATTTGCTGATTGTCTTTTAAAAGAGTAAATACAAACCATATGTCAGGGGTTGTTTGGTGTCCCAGAGTTCAGCTCTGTGGAGGGCTTTGAGGTGGTCCCAGGACAGAGCCCTGCAGGAGACAGAGCAGCTGGTGGAGAAAGCCTGTCACTGCCCTCCAGGAGTCCAGACTGTGGAGATATTTGACAAACTCTCAGACAGACATGGTAAACATGTTAAACATGGTTGATATAAATAAATAATAGGGTATGAAAAACGAGGGCTTCAGAAGCCTGCTCTCTTCGTTTGAAATTCAAAGCTGTGACAATTAAGGATATTGAAGGCTATGTGGTGTGTGTGTGTGTGTCTCTTTAGCTCACCAAAGGCTGAATTTATTTGATCAAAACTACAATAAAAACAGTAATAGTGTGAACTATTATTACAATTTAAAATAACTGTTTTCTATTTGAATATATTTTAAAACATTTATTCCTGTAATGGCAAAGATGAATTGAATAAAGTTGTGCTGTCTAATATTTTTGTGGAAACCATGATAAAAAAAATCGAGCATTCTTTGATAAATAGAGGTTAAAAAAAAAAAAAAAAAAAAAAAAAAAGAACTTTCATGATATTCAAATTTTGAGATGCACCTGTGTATTTATTTATTTATGTATTTATTTTGTCTCTTTAGCTCACCAAAGGCTGAATTTATTTGATCAAAACTACAATAAAAACAGTAATAGCTTAGGATGGGTTAAATGCAGAGCACAAATTCCTAGTATGGGTAACCATACTTCGCCACATGTCACATCACACTTTAAAAAATATATTGATTCAGATGATGTGCTACAGGGACAGTCACTATGCCATTCCATGCCATTTATTTATTTGTTATTGCTTGAATATAAGGTCTAAACACTGGCATATTATATAACCTTAAAAGTTGCATTTTATTTTATTTTATTTTTTAATATTAATTTTTAAATATTTAACTATTTTGTTTTATTCATGCAGAAGAGTGGCTGAACTTTTTATATTTGACTTCGAGATAAGTGGAATCCATCTGGATAAAAAAAAAAAAAAGGTCTACATTTTTAATTTTAAAGTTCTGTATCTGAATGAAAACAAACACAAACTACTTGACAAAACAACAGGAGCCAAGAATGCTGCACTGGTTTTCTCACATAATCAACGGTGCTCTTTGGATTTTTAAAGGTAAATATCAAACTGAAAAGATTAATTACTCCAAGGCACTTGTAGTAACAATAAAAAGCCTTTAATTAACTGGGCTAAATCATTAAAATAATTAAAAGGGTAGATCTACGCGTTTCAGCTTCAAATCCTTCTTCAGGATACACATAAATTTTTCAAACAAGTGTTCTTAAACAATTAGTAAGCAATCAGAGGCAGCCAAACACAAACTACTATTTTAAACAATTTTTTTTTTTTTTTTTTTTATTGTTTTTTGACTGATTTCAGTGTAAGACACAGCTATGCATCTCATGGATTACGTTTCTTTTTCACAGAGGAAAGAGGCTGTGAACTTGAATGTGAAGCTTTGAAGTTTCTCATGAGCTGCCACATGCCCAACAGAATAGAGAAGAGAGCTCTTCATGAACACATTCACCTGCACTTCACTAAAGACGGGAAATACGTTCAGATCGGAGGCCTGAATGCAGATGCGCCTGATGATCTGGTAAATCACTTTGCTTAATAAGTAGAAACTGTTTAAATGAAGTTGCATAAAGATTGATTGAAATTAGATTTATGTACATTTTTAGGTTGCTTTATTGTGGAGTAACTAGTGTTTTTGGAATGTGCACATAGTTTTCAGGTCAGGGAAGTTGCGCACAAAGTTTTCCTCTGCCCGAATGCGAATGTGATGCACATACTTGAGGAACTGCTGTCCTGTAGAAACTGGCTTGCTTGGTTGGTTATGAATCTTACGCACATAGAGCTTTAAAAGGAACCGTGGCCAAAAGCCCAGGTAGACTCTCATTTTTTATTTTTTGAAGTTTACTCATTTTCCTTTTCTACCTTTAAACTTGAAATGTGTTGTTTTTTTACCACTAGCTACACCAAACAGAACTGCAAGAATATAAATTATTTAATATCGTATAAATATTATGTTATGTTATGTGTTTCTCCACAGAGGCAGTTTTTTACAGCAGATCACAGACAAGCTCTCAGACAGGTTGAGTTTTCCCTCTTCAATATTTTGTCAATTGCTTTAAGCCGCTGGTACATAATAATGAATATATGTGCAAAAGTTAAAAGTTTTTTTTAAAGAAGATGTAAAATTAATTAATCTCCTGCTCTATTGTCAGAATCTTATTCTAGCAGATGCCACTAGGTGTCACTGTCAACTACATTATATATGCCATGGTGGCAATAATAGAGAAACTGGATTGATATTTATATTTATGATTTAAATTAATATTTATGATTATGATATTTATATGTATATTTGGATTGATAATTGTGTGTGTGTGTGTGTGTGTGCGTGTGTGTGTGTGCGTGTGTGTGTGTGCGTGTTTGTGATGTATGATGCTTGTATAGTATGCATATTTTATAATATAAATTGTAATGTTTATGTATGTTATATAATATATTAACAGATATTTCTGTAAACTTTAGGATTTTGAAATGATGAGGGAAATTAAGACAAAACTCAACCCCAGAAATCCTGTAAGCACTTAATTATCTATAATATTTGGATTTTCATATCATCTGATTATTGTATCTTTTTGAAAAATGTTAGAAACTTTCTAATACCTGCAAGTTTAAGTGAGATATAGTCCATTGCTCTAGAATTAACCAGAATTAAATCTTTCTCTGTAGGAGCTAATGCCATGGGACCATCCATATTTCAGTGGTGTGATACGTGCAGAAAGGTAAGAGATCTGAGAAAAGCATGAGACGGATTCATTTCCGTGCGTCAAAAAAAAAATTTATTCTAAAATAAGCTGCAGTGCTGTTCAAAAGTTGGGATCAGTAAGATTTTTTTTTTTTTAATTACATTTATTCAGAAATTATGTATTAAATTTGCAGGGCCGTACCTTAAGTATGCATTGATATAGAAAATTTAGCTGATATTGATAATATTTTTAATAAGGGCCTATAACTGATGTCCAATAGTATTGTTTTTTTTTTTAGCAGTATTCACAGTGAAGCTTGAATGTAGATTGTAAAATTAGTAATTAAAACAGTTTAATTAATGAATTTAATTAATTTTAAACAATTCAGGTAATAATTATGTACTTTTAAAAATTAACATTTATAAATATTGTTAGGAACAATTGTTTTGGGAAACTATGCTCTGATATTTTCGTCTTCCCAAAATAAAAAAGCTAATAAACAATATGTAATCCAACATAAATGGTTAATTCATAAATGGTTTGTTCTAAACTCAAGGATTCTGTAAATGGTTCTCTTTAGGTTTTCTATGCAATCCTAGATCAAGTTTATCATTGAAAACC